ACAGAGTCCTGAAACCACCTCTCGTCCCTGGCAAGAAGCAGCCAATTTTACAGATGCCCGTCTAGCACAAGGCTGCTGAGGAGCACTGAAGGCAGTGGCTTTCCATCTGCAAGTTGAAAACAATGTCATGGGTCGTAATCAGCAACTTTTTAAAGACTAGAAGGCGGTAGATCTGATTGCATCGCATTCAAGAATAAACATTGGTCCCGGAAAGGTGTATCAGTATTTATACCTACGTATTTCTGGCTGTGGGTATGTGATTCAGAAAATTTAGAGAGCCACTGATTTAAAGATTTTTCATTCCCCAGACTTACAAAATAATCCCTGAAAGGAATGGCCTGAGAAAGGTTCTGAGTAAGCCAACGTGAGGTAGACACCTCTTGAGCAGAGGCCTCTGGCCTTCGAAAGATAGAATCACCAATACAGCAGCATAGCCCAGACTGAGGCCCAGGCTCTGGACACAGACGCCCCAACAAGGCTCCCTAGGCTGGGTAGCTACATCCAGGGGAAAGAAAGTCAACAGTTCCACACGCTCTGCTCCTCTCAGCATTTTACTGGGCCAACCATAAACAAAAGAGCCCTTTCTCTTTTTTTAATATTTTCATTTATTTCAGAGAGGAAGGGAGAGAGAGATTGAAACATTAATGATGAGAGAGAATCATTGATTGGCTGCCTCCTGCACACCCCACACTGGGGATCAAGCCCACAACCTGGGCATGTGCCCTGACCGGAAATGGAACCCTGACCTCTTGGTTCATAGGTCAATGCTCAACCACTGAGCCATGCTGCCCGGCAAGAATTTTCATTGTTAAAAATACAGGACCACAATCTATAAAACAGTAAATGAAGATACTTTGTTAATGGAGTATATAAGGAAAATCCCCCTCTGGCCCCAATTGTGGTCCTAGAGGAACTTCTACTTTGTTTGGTCTTTGTTGGAGAGCTCTTCAGAATGTTCATGTTTGATAGGTTTTATCTATTGAAGTGTCCCTGGCCCTTGCTGTCATTTCATAACTCACAGCCCCAACTAACAAAACATAAGGCTGAAAATCTTGATGTGGACCACTTTCAATTGTTGCCCTCCACAGTTCCATTGCTCTCTCCAGAGGCAACCCCTATCTTTTATCTGGTGGACATTTCCCAGTTTAAATAACCTTATGTGTGTATGTCCATAGCAATGGATAGCATTGCTCTGGGGGATTTTATTTTCTTCACTGGCGTTCAACTACTACAAGGCTCACTTTCTTCTACAATGTGTCACTCATTGTTTTTTAGATATACCCATTTTTATATATGCTCATTTACGAACAATGCTCTATAGACTCCAACACATGGATATTCCGTAAACTTTCCCAAAGTGCTGTCAATTATAAGCATCATTGCTATGAGCATTCTTGGACATGTCTCCTTGGGTTCATATGGGAGTTTGCTCAAGGTATAGTTGGAAGTGGAATTGCTGAGTTGACATATACATACATTTTCAACTTAAATTAGTTATTGCCAACCTCACATGCCAGGATAACAAGTATCAATATTTCAGGACATGTGCTTGCAACTTCATACACCTGTGCACATGCACAACATATATGACTTTACAGAAGAGAGAGACAGATAAATCTATCCTATGCTTTAGGATGGGTTGCAGAGGGCTGTTTTCTGCATAAAGAACCACTGATTTAAAGATTAGAGATTTTCCCTCTTTACACTCTTTCAAGCAACTTTGTGCATTAATACACAAACACACTAATTCTAGTACATGTGCAGAACAGATTGTCTGCTGGATCCACCTCTAACTTTGCAAAGGAGAAAAGGCTGAATCCCAGAGAACTGGGGTGAGCAGTCGGCCATGGACCCTTCACCAAGTGAAAAACCAAGGGTCTGGGGGCTGGGTTTCCTACCATCTGATCTCCAGTTCTTTAGAGGGACACTTGATCTGCTTAGAGAATCAAACATCAATACACAGTATTCCAATACACCATCTCCATTTACACTGTAAAATTTGTGATTATAAAAAGGCACCCTCCACAGATAATAGGGTAGTGAAGGCCTGGGGTGGGGGCAGGCTGGAAGGGATCAATGGGGGGGGGGGGATGTAATACTTTCAACAATAAATAATGATTTTTTAAAAACAAAACAATGAAGATTTAAATAAATAAACAGGCACTCTGAGTTTCACAAAAGTCATGTCAAGTCCTACGGTTCCTGCGCGGAAAGGAGGTGAGGCAGCCAGGTCCTTCCGCAGACCCGTCAACCCCAGAAGACTGTAAGAGTCAGCCTCTGGGTCTCATCCTTAGTCCAGGCAACTCACATTCACAGAGGCCAAATGCTAATGGGCTTCTAGGACTCTGCCTGAGGTTAAGGAAGGAGACTAATGACCAATCAGTGCAAACTCCAAGAGGCAGAGGCTGTCCCTGTGCCTACAATCTCAGGAAAGCAGTAAGAAAAAGAGCCTGTCCCATACCTATTTCTTCTCTCCAGCAAACTTATTCACCTGCCTGTAATACAGGCCAGGCATCCAAACCCAACCTGAATTCAAAAAACTTCAGCTGTGCCCAGCCAGGGTGGCTCAGTTGTTGAGTGTCAACCTATGAACCAGGAGGTCACGGTTCAACTCATGGTCAGGGCACATGCCCAGGTTGCAGGCTCAATGCCCAGTATCGGGTGTGCAAGGGGAGGCCGACTGGTGATTCTCTCTCATCGTTGATGTTTCTATCTCTCCCTTCCTCTCTGAAACCAATAAAAATACATTTTTAAAAAGGCTCAGCTGAGCATGTGCTGTGCTCTCTGCTCGTGCTCACATATAGGATGGATCCATGCAGTCTTGATGCCTAACCTGTGGCATAGATGAGTTTGAACCCTGACTCGGCCCCTCATTAGCTCTGTGGCCGTAGGCAGGTTATTTGATCATCCAAGCTTCAAATTCCTCGCCTGAAAAAATTATAGATAAAATTGGTACCTACTTCCTTGTAGGATCTAGTGAAAAGTAAATGAGTTAATGCCCGTAGGAGCTCAGAAAAGCCCTCACCCATACAATAGATTTAGTAAATATTCTGGTACCGGATTAGTGCTCCTGCCTGAAATAGACAAGGTCCCTGGCCCTAAGAAGGTAAATTTATCAGAATGTCAAATAGAAACAATAGAAACAGGTGTGGCCGCCCGTCAGAGGGAGCGGCAGGTACCAAAAACGTGCCAACATCGAGGGCATATGAGGGACAGTCAAGAACGAGGGGAGGCCCTCACAAGAACGAGGGGAGGAGCTCTTTGAAGGGCTCAGACACACAGAGAACAATCCTGAACAAGGTCACATCCTCAGGTCCAGGCTGGGTCCCAAGGCCTCGGCAAACACGTACTTATTTTAGTAATCATAGAAAGGTACAAAGTCTTGTTAGACAAACTAGGTCCCTTAGAGGTTCTCAGGCACATAAGCCTTAAGGACACGGGTGGAAATACCGAAGGCACGTGGTGTGTGAACAAGCCCTATCCCATGCCCTCTCCCAACCCCCATCCTCAAGCCTTCTCTGCAAATGCCTCACTAGTGACCGGCTTCTTGGCTCTCTTCTCCCTCAAGCTTTCAAACTTCCTGGTTCCTCCACTGCCCTGGCAGCTGCCCCTTGGGCTCTTTCTCCCACCCTCTAGAAGTGGGTAGCTGTCCCACACCCTTCACCCTTCATGGCCCCACAGATACCTCCTCTCTAAAATAAAGGATTAGCCGAAACCGGTTTGGCTCAGTGGATAGAGTGTCGGCCTGCGAACTGAAAGGTCCCAGGTTCGATTCCGGTCAAGGGCATGTACCTTGGTTGCGGGCACATCCCCAGTAGGGGGTGTGCAAGAGGCAGCTGATCGATGTCCCTCTCTCATCGATGTTTCTAACTCTCTATCCCTCTCTCTTCCTCTCTGTAAAAAATCAATAAAATATATTTTTTTAAAAAATAATAAATAATTAAATAAATAAATAAAATGGAGAATTATTAGAAGGCTTAATTAAATGAAACAATCTGTGTGATACAACTTAGCTCTGTTCCCTTCTCTGAGGATGCTGCCACCCCCAGACGGCTGGGCCCAACATCCTGGCATCACTTTCAATCCTCTCTCAGTCCTGCTCACCATACCCCACCGGCACCACTGTCCTGTGGCTGCTTCACGCCTCCCACACTCTGCATGTACTGCTGATGCTACCTGCCACACCAAGACAGTTCTCCCATCCCTCAAACCTTTCAGCTACTCCCCAGTGCAGACTGGAGAAAGACTCAATGTTTCAGGCAGGCATGCAAGGCCTTCTGTGATCCAGCCCCAGCCCACCTTCCAATTTCAATCCACCACAGCCCTTTTCTCCAGTTTGATTCAGTCTGCTGGGTGCTGCACCATGAGATAGGAATTCTGTATCCAAATAAGGGGATTAAACAAAGCTTATTGCACAAGTTCAGAGCCTTTAATACCCTGATATTATGCACTGTGGCTCTTCACATTCTCCTAAGTTTATTCAGACGTGTAATACTCTATTTTCATGGAGTTCAAGGACAATCTAGGACAATCTGTACCATGTTGTTTCTCCAGCAAGACTTTGGAATGTGCCAGTCAGGTGGGCCAGAGATAGCGTGGCCCATGGCCATGACCATCTTAGGCACATTTGTTGTTCGTGACCATCATTGAATAGAACCTCAGCAGGACCATAAAATTACAAACTGAGCCCAGCAGCCTTTCTCAGCACACGAATGAATGGGAAGCAAATGCCTGACAGAGAGGCCCCAGTTGGGTTGACAAGGATATACTTCTACCTTAACTGCCAAGGCTGCCTGTTTTCCCAGTCTTCCTGTCTAACCCGTCCCACAGACTTCGTTAAAATTCCCTGTATGCTTAAAATAGCCAGTGTCGATTTCTGGGGCTTCAAACCAAAGAACCTTCACTGTTCTTAAGGTCCCTGAGCAAAGCCATCCAAATATCCCACCAGCAAAGAAGCAGCCAGAGTCATGCCCTCCACACGCTGCCCCACAGGGCAGTACCTGTCCCGTCTGGAGTAGACCTCACGAAGGTGGGCAGCATTTTCACTGAAGCAGTGGGGTGAGTGGTAGCTCCAAGCCCTTTCTCCATCTCCTTGCGAAACCGCTTAGAGATCTCCAGAAGGGTCTCATCAGAAAGACGCATGTGATAGAGGTACTGGTCAACCTGCAGAAGAGGAAAAACAAGAGTAGACACCTATAAGTTAAGTAACATACGGCATGCATCTATGTAATAGAACATCACTCAGCCCTTCAAAAGAATAAAATCTGCCAAGACCAGTTTGGCTCAATGGATAGAGCGTCGGCTTGGGGATTGAAGGGTCCTGGGTTCGATTCCGGTCAAGGGCATGTACCTTGGTTGCGGGCATATCCCCAGTAGGGGGTGTGCAAGAGGCAGCTGATTGATGACTCTCTCATCGATGTTTCTAACTCTCTATCTCTCTCCCTTCCTCTCTGTACAAAATCAATAAAATATATTTTTTTTTAAAAAGAATAAAATCTGTCATAAACAGAAGATTATTATGTAAAGACCATTTAACCAGAATCTACTTTTTAGGACTTTGTATTTTTAAAAAAAACTGAACAAAAAATTGAAATTAGAAAAATAGGTTTAATTTTATTTCTGGAGAAAGGGCCTATTAGGGAAAAGGAGAATTCTTTTTGGAAGCATTGAGTTTTAATGTCTTAAGACATCCCTTAATCCAGAGTTCTTTACTGACCCTCATCTCTTGTGCCCTCACACACACCTCACAAGACCAGTCATGCCAATCTTATCACCCCTCAATGTAGGCCAAGCCTTACATCACCTCTTACCTGGACTTCACATCCCCAATTCTACTTTTATCTCACCCATTCACTTTCCATCCCCAGCAAACATGGCTATTGTTCCCCTGCTTAAACTCTTTCAATGGCTTTCCATTAGAACCAAACTCCTTGGAAGTCCTTCCAAGGCTCTATGTGGTCTGGCTCCCCACACCCTCCTCTTCTAATTTCATTGCATGTCTCTTCACTCGTGTGCAGACTTGATCCTCGGTTCAGTCCCCACCTCACCCAATTCACACTTCCTGCCCTAGAGCCTGTTCACAAGGGCCCTACAGCTCCTCACCTCACGCTTAGCTGCCATCGGACCTCCTATCAGTCCTTGAAACCTCTCTCCATGGAGGCCTTCTCCCAATAAAATAGTCAGGTCTCCCATTATTCTAAGAACTCAGACCTTTCTCTTCACAAAACCACCGGCAATTTGGAAATATACATTTAATAGTGTCCAAATATAAGCACCAAAGAAGAGCCTCATCTCTCTGCTCCCTGCATCCCTGGAGCCTAGCACAATGCCTGATGCACAATAGAGACTCTACATATAGAGTTATCCAACCTCTCCTCCCTTCAGAGGCAACTTTCCATAGCTATTTCATTGATCTTATTTCCAACATAAATTTACATGAACTTTTTCCAATTTAAAACCAGGAAAAGCACCAGGAGTCCTTCTCAAACAGTTTCCTTCTTAAAAACACCCGTCTGCTTTGGCCATAAATATTCCCAGTTTTCTCCTACGAGGAAAAGATTGAATAGAAATTCATCCAAGAAGGGACAAAGGTTTCCACAATATCCCTATTCTCAGCAACAGTATACAGGACAGGGAAGGCTGCTGACCATAGAGGATGGAGCTAGAGAATCAGGAACCTTGGACCAGGCCCCAGCAGTGCCCTCAAGGTGTGAAGATGGTGGTCCTCCCAGTCCTGTCAGCAAACTGAGGGACCAGAAAGAACCCTGCTTCTCCCAGCTCTGAAGCTCCAGGCTTCCCAAAGACGAAGCTTGGCTGATGACGACCACCACTGCTATTCCAGATGGTAACACAAGTCAGTGCCCATCTATCCCTCACCTTTACCCACGTCTGACAAAGAAGCATACATTTTTATTAGCTTTCCCAAAATCCTAATTAATATTATAGCCTATTATAGTTTCCAGCATTTTGAGTCAGGTCTTCTTGGATTTCCTTAAACAAACACAGCCTCAGATTTCCAGAGAAATCCTTTAAGAAAAGGACAGTCCCTTGTGTCTCCTTACGCACAGTTGCTCTCTTCCTGGGTGTATCCTAATTTCCTATGGGTTCATGCATGTCCTCTTTGGGCCTGTTTCTGCCACTGTAGAATGAGAGTGGCCCTCCTGAGATCATTTCCAATATCCTGATCAGTACTCATCATTTACCATTCTCATAAAATCCCACAAGGTGAAGAAGATCAGTGTGTGGAGTAAAATGCTGAGAGCAGCTGTAAGCAAGGTGAAGGCCTCTGATGAATCGAATTGGTCTACCCCTCTTCATAACAGCTATGTGGTTATAATACAGCAAAATCAGCAGCTACCATCCTCCCACAGGGTGGGAAAGGGTGAGTAGCAGAAGAGACGTGGTAAAGGCCCTCACCACTTCTCTCCCTCCCCAGCCAGCTGAGAGATCAGGCTTGTCATACAGCGTTTCCAATTTGGAGAAATGAGGATTTCCCAGAACTCCCTCTTGCCAGCATTTGTTAAAGAGCTGCCCCAGAGTAAGTCCACCAGTCTAAATCAGGAAGTATCCAACTGTCCATTCTGTTTTCTGATTTTAGGCTCCTGGTACCTTACTTGTCTGGAGCCCACTGTATGCCTCAGCCACCCAGGCTGTGTGGCACCAGCCCCAGCCCAAGCTGGGTCACTGATGTGGGGTCCCAGGGTGCTCCTGAGGAGGCCTGGCCTCTCCCACAATGTTGTTTGAGGCTTACCAAGAAGTCAAAGAGTATAGCTTCAGGCAAGTCCCCTCTGTTAGTGCATGGGAGACACATCTCTGGTGACCCTGGGCCCAGGACAACTTTAATCACTGCAGAGACTGCTGATTCCAGATCCAATGACACCTGGGCTGGTCCAAAAGCACTGCCTCATGGCTTACACATCTTGAATGTACAAAGTCTGGGACCACAAGACAGCGATCAACACCAGGCCACATCCAGGAACAGTCCAGAATGACCTCAAGAGCAATAGTAATAACAGCAAACCCTACGTGGCACTATTCTCAAGGTTTTCACACCCATTAAGTCATTTAGTTCTCACAGGGCTAATTATAAATAGTGTTATATAAGTAGTGTTATAACCACCTTCTACCAAGAGGGAAAGGAAATGTGCCCAAAGTCACATAAACACAAAAAGCCAAGCCAAGATTAGACTGGGCACCTGGCTCACCTGTGTTCTTGTCCACTCCACCAAATGAATGCCCAAATGGCACTGTGGGACGTTTAGGCTAACCACACCCTTTTGGTCATCTTCTGCCCCACTGGTGTGACTCAGTGGTTGAGTATCTACTTATGAACCAGGAGGTCATGGTTTGATTCCCAGAGACGGCATGTGCCCAGGATTCCAGGCTCAATCCCCAGTAGGGGGCATGTAGAAGGCAGCCGACCAATTATTCCCTCTCATCATTGATGTTTCTATTTCTCTCTCCTTTCCTCTCTGAAATCAAGAAATATATATATTTAAAAAGAATAAAATAAATTAAAATAAAACAAAAAGCCATCTTCTCTTGCTGCCAAACGCTGGATGCAGACATGAAGGATAAGCTGTGACAAGGTTTATCGGAAATCCAGCTGACACTCCTCATCATTAACCATCAAAAAACTCTAACATTAAACAGTAAACCTTTACTCAGTAATGATCTCCCTTATCCAAGAGATTATAATCATCTTTCAGTGTTCAATGACAGAAGAAAATGATGAAAGTTTATTATCAGCTAAAGTTTATCAAGTCTTTCTTATGTGCAAGACACAAACCTATGGCTTTATTGATTTGACCTCCATTGTCTGTGTGTGTGTGTGTGTGTGTGTGTGTGTGTGTGTGTGTGTGTGTGATATATACACTTTTTTTATTGATTTCAGAGAGGAAGGGAGAGAGAGATAGAAACATCAATCAGCTACCTCCTGCATCCCCGCTACAGGAGATTGAGCCCACAACCCGGGCATGTGCCCTGATCAGTAACTGAACCGTGATCTCTTGATTCATAGGTCACTGAGCCACATGGGCCAGGCATTCACTGACCTTTTGTAACAGGTCACTTGGTGGTGAGGGGCAGAGCTGGAAGTGAGGTATATCTGGCTCTAAAGCCAGGCCACAGGACCAGCACCTGGTCTCACCTGTCCTCTGGGTCCTCTTAGTATGGGCAGAGAGTGTTTCTTGGATGACCCTGGGGCCTTAGTTTCCTCTCTGTCACATGAAACTAAGAAAGGATGTGAAACAGCTATGAAAAACGTGACTATATCACCTTGGCCCAAACTTCCCCTCTTACACAACATGATGGTGTATCCACCCTGAACTTATTAGACTATTCAAGGAGGGATGATTAATTATCTAATGTCACAGCTTCTTAAACACACCACTGGGGCCCACCCAGCCATGGCGGGCACTGCTGTGCTGGGTGAAGGGTGGCCAAGGGAGGCATAAGTCAGAAGCTAGAAGCAGCCTCCATACAAAGAAAGTTTTCCCGGAATGGGGAGGAAGTGAATGCACTTTGCAGAATCCTGCCAACATTCACCCACAGTGCAGCCAGAGGGAGGGAGCACCAAGCCCAAAGTCATGGGAGAAAGTCATTTAAGAGATAACAAATGTGCACGGGACAGTCGGACTTCGGCTAGAAAACACTCCCTCTTAGAAAGGAAAGGCCCTTGGGGAAGCAAGCTTAATTCCGCTGAACACAGACAGCATTCGAGTCTGTCTGGTTTGTCCCCCTGACCCCAATAAGTCATCGGGCCTGAGTTTGAATGCTTCTAAGCTAATAGGCTCACTACTTCTCTAAGTTAGTTTCTATCGCTGGTCAGCTCTATTTGTTAGAAAGCTTTTCTTTGGTTTAAGATAAATCTATTTTCTGATAACTTCTGTTTTAGCCTCCATGCTGCCACTTGGGGCAAGACTTCCCAACTTGTCTGCATATTAGAATGACACAAGGAGTTTTTTTTAAGAAATATTAAGAATTCTAAAGATCTGTGCCTGAACATCTTCCCATCTCTTTGGATTGATACACACCAAGCCAATAATGCGATACTGGTGGGCTGTGTTCTGGCCAACATTGCTCAAGGTCATTGTTACCATTTTTCTGCCTGGGGTCTTTGAAAGTTCGTATAGTTAAGATATTAGGCTAAGCGTAAAATGGTT